ATCTATGCAGTATGAACTTATGGTATCATGAAGTCTTGCAGTTGTATGCTTGGGTTGGGATTTAATTTTATTTATTATAGGGGATCCTATAATAAATAAAATTAAATCAGCAGATGGTAGCACCCAGCCATCTTCTCTATTGAAATTAGGATGTTTTTTGATTTCAATAGCCTCGCGAATCATCCTTGGAAGGAATCGGTGTTCTTTAGCGAGGATCTGCGGTCTATCAAATCTGATGTAGTGACGTAGTGACGACGTAAAAACGTCGGGTATTTAAAAAGTTAAAATATACGCGATAAATTCCGTAAAAACTAGTATTATTTCAATAGAATATTGCAATTTAAAAAAGGCGCTGTGTGCGGCCATGTTCTTATATTAGCGAAAGGCATGTTTTTAAAGTAAACTAAGTACGACCTGGTAAGACATGCAGATAGCTGAGGACTGTAATTTGTGGCATTCTTTAGGGGCCTACGTTCAGCAGTGGACTTGTGAAGGGCTGTAATGATGATGGTGAAACTGAAAATATAACGAAGCCTATATTTTATTGCATAACCTCTCTACAGTGTTTTATGCAAGTTATAATACATTTTGCAATTACTGAGATTTCTTATTCTTCGTGTACGGCAACGAAGCAAACGCAGAATCAATAGTACTTTTACAAATTCAAAGCAAATATGCGTCTGGTATCCCATTAGTTTTCGAAGGACTGTTTAGTTACTATTCGTTTTCGAATGACGTGAGAGCGCTGACGACGCTTCCGGCACTTAGACCAGTTCAGTATCAGCCCCAACGTTATAAAGTCGTGTCAGATCATGTGTACAACATTATTAAGCGGTACAGGTGGCGACACCGCCATAATATCATAATAGCAAAGTGAACGAGAGTGCGAAAACTTCAAACAAGTACAGTAACGACTTAGAAAATAACACGATTTTTCGTACTTTCAACCAGAGTATCGCCTTGTTTTCTCTGTGTGCTCCTGTAGGTGAACACGGCTGGAAAGGGTTTTGAAAAAAAAATTGTAAATTTCCGGTGCTCCTCTTTTCACTGAATAGCGTTCATAATTTATTTGATTTACTAAATTGGTAACCCTACCTGCAAAGTTACCAAAATAAATAACCAAACAGGTTTTACGAATGTGCATCGCTCATTGTAAAAAGACTATGTGAAAAATATTGTCAGCAATTTGATTACGCATCCACCTAATTAGGAAGACAGTGCTATTTCTATCACTTTTAACTAGGGCTGCCAACCATACAATATTAGTTAGAAACTATATTTTCATAATAGCTGACTGTGGTACCGGGTAGTGATGCCGTAACGAAATCCATCACCCCCATTTCGTCTCATGGCAATCGTAAAGGACGACTATTTGAAATGCCACAAGGAGAGAAGAGAAAAGATGGTGGCATGAGAGTGTTAATAAAAGCTCAATGCATCAAATAACATGCCTTTAAAAAATATTTTTTAAAACGTACTTTATGTCTTCTTTTTTAGCCATGTGCTATATTTTTACAAGTAATAATTGTTAATAGGTATACCATATTTATTTACACTGAATATGAGAGAGTTGGCAACCCTGCTCCTAGCCTACGCACTACGTGCCTTCCTCCCCAGCCTTAATAAGAGTCTAGAAAGTCTGGGCAAAAGTGAAACTGTCTGGGACCAAATCGCAGCCTACAATTAGCGAGTGACAGCTGACGTTTACTTTCGCTTCCTCGGCCATCAAACTAGATTCGGATGTCCTCGATTTTACGGCCCCTGATTGCAACATAAATTTACATTTATTCTAAATCAAACATGCGACAGGTTTTTAAAAATCTGATATTTTTGGGAGAATTATTTTTTAATTAAGTTTTTTTTTATGAAATGTTATTCTTTAATAGGTTATTCTTTAATTTAAATAACTTAAATTGAAAATTTTAAAAACCGCCTAAACACAAAATCTGATGATCTTCAAACGCCTGAACCAATTTTGATAAAACATGTTTAAGAAACATTGCTAAAAAACCAGCTTTTAAATTTAAACAAACCATCACTACCCGTTTCACCGTTTAAGAGCTACGGTACCACGGACGGACACACACAGCGGGCGTACTTATAACACCCCTCTTTTTCGTCGGGATTAAAAAATAAGTCCTGCTGGATTTCTTACTGGTTTTTCCCAGGACAGAGATTTTTTCCGAACCAGTGGTAATGCTTAACTAACTAATGACTTTCGGTAAATATTCGAATTAATGATGATTCCATTCTATTCTATTCTTTGTCTTAAAAAAAAACTTTAAACATTAGGATATTCTCATGTGTCGTGGAGCCAGTTTCTATACATAAATTTCACAAGGAGAAACATACAGACCTAGAATAATTATTTGTGAACCATATAAATACTTGTTCCGTGCGGGATTCGAACCCGCGGCCCTCAGCGCCGGAACTCATTGCTATGTCACGCACCACAGAGCCACTTGGTTTTTACTATTATGGTATTTACTATTTTTTATATATTAGCAACACGCCGTGACTGTGCCTGGATAAGGCGCCTATTTATGTGATGTAGATTTTAGATAATAATCAAAGAACATTTCTCTTATCAATTTCTCGGATAAAATACAGCTTAGATCATTCATGGCATTGCTCCGTATCTGTTTGTATAGTTTCATCACAATCGATTCAGTCATTCTGAGTCTGAGCCTGGACAACAGACGGACAAAAATATTAACAATGGTTATTTCATCATCACAGCCCTTCACAACACATAACATGAACATAGGCCTCACCCAAGTAATTCCACAAACCGGTCCTGAGCCAACTGCATCCATTGACTTCCTGCATGTCTTACCAGGTTGTCACTCCATCTAGTGGAGGGTACGAGGGTACCACTCGAGAACCTTTTTTTCCCATCGGTTATCGGTTCTTCGAGCTATATGACGGGCCATTGCCACTTCAGCTTACTAATCCGTTGGACTATGTCGGTCACTCTGGTTCTACTGCTGATATCCTCATTTTTGAGCTTATCACGCAGAGAAACTCCGAGCATAGACCTCTCCATAGCTCGCTGAGTGACCTTGAGCGTTCTCATACGGCCAGCAGTGAAAGGCTACGTATCAAATTCTAAGTCGTCACTGGCAACACGAACTGTTTTTACAATCTAGTTTTCAGAGTTTGAGGTATACCTGACGAGAAGATGTGTCGTAATTTCCCGAACACTGCCCAGCCGAGTTGAATCCGTCGATTAACCTTTAGGTCGAAGTTGGACTTACGTAGTCTGACTATTTGTCCCAGGTAAACGTACTCGTCAACAACTTCGAGCTTACTGCTCCCAACAACTACCGGCATAGGTGTGACATGGACATTAAACATGATCTTTATTTTATCCATGTTCATCTTAAGACCTATCCGTTGGTAGGCTAGGTCATTGAGCATAGTGATTAGGTTCTCCAGCGATTCTGCCATAAGGACTATATCGTTGGCAAATCGAAAGGGAGTGATGTACTCGCCATAGATATTAATGCCGTATCCTTTCCAGTTCAGTAGCTTGAAAACGTCTTCCAATGCAGCAGTGAAGTGTTTCGGGGATATAACGTCACCTTGTCTTACAAATGGTTATTTATGTCTTAATAATAAATAAACAAACCCCTAAGCTCAATTGAAGCCAGTTATTTGAACAATACAGAACGAAACAAAAACAGAAACAGAAGCTTTTTTATTTAATTTGGATTTTAACTATGTAATATTTACATAATATGGAAAACCACTCTGTTTAATTTGGGTTTGCTATAAACATAATTTAATTCAAAAAGCATTTCCGATATTTTTAAATGTCGGAAATGCTTTTTGAATTAATTACGATAAAAATAAATTTCACCAAAAATTGTTTATAACGGCACACATATAATATGTCAGTTTGGTCTGGTATTATGAAGTAGACGACCGGTTTTGCGTAAATCGGACCAAAAATTAATATTCAAAAACTGAAGGTAGCTGGTCTAACTATGACTTTGGGACGTCAAACATCGCAGCCCCCCCGTGACCATGGGTGCTGTAAAGCACCCGAAACGTCGGTATAATAAAAATAAATTAGTTGTAATTAAACGCGATAAAATCCGTAAATAATAGTTTTATTAAATGTGTAGTGTTCGCGTAAATTTAAGAAATCCTTATCCGACCGGTACTTGATTTTTTAATATTGTTTTCGATTTAGGTTTGTGAAGGTCAAGCTTGTTTCTGCATGGTGGTCAATACTGTTTTTGGATTGCTTGAAAAAAGTTTTTTGAATTAATTACGATAAAAATAAATTTCACAAAAACTTTCACATAACGAAATGCAAATATGTCAATTTGTTTTTTTTTTCACACGGATACACCCATAAAAAAGTTAATCACTCCGACCCAGACAATCCTCATCGGGACGGGACGGGACTCATATACAACAAATTGAGTCGCAATGGAGAGCAGTCTAAATTTTTTTCAAAAAACAAAATTATAACAATTCACTTTACATTGTTTCATTTACCAGTATCATAGCAGAGTTTAGGGCAACCCGACTTTATAGATAATATTGGTTGAATATGTTCTAAAACCTAGTCCTTGGCTGCAGTTCCCGCAGCACCGAAGCTGTTGCGGAAGTAACTTTGGGTCAATATTCCTGTGAAAAAAGTGAAGTTATAATTTTACAAAAAAAATCATTACCCTTTGACTGTTGCCGCATTGGGAAAGGATTACGAGTGCACCCTCTCCCCACCCCGTACGCAATTATCGGATGTCTATAGTTTAATTTACTACTGGCACTACCAGTGAGGCTATTGAATTAAATAACACTTCACAATCATATGAGTATATGCTACACAATTAACAACACAACACAAATTAGAAATAGCTAGATAGCAATCACCTTATTCCCATAGGTTATTATCATCGATAAATTCTTTAATATTATAATAATTCTTTTTGTGCAAATTTTATTTGTCTTATAATTACTAACAAGTGTTTATTCTCCGCAAGTAGGCGACGTGGCAGTTATGCGATGCGTACGACTATTCGTCGTCGTGCACGCGGCCGTACCGCGCGAACCGCGCGCGTCCGCTACCCGTCGCACCCTGCGACCTTTCCAAGCAGACCTATTGCACCACGCCGGGAAGCGCTTACCCCTGGCAAGCTATACGACGATTTGTCCGAGAGAACCAGGTATATTTTCTTTAAATAGAAGTTTTTTGATAGAAATACATAGATGTAGAGCTTAGTTTACCGTGTAGCGGTGGTGAAAAATATCCACTACCCCATATCAACCTGTGGATGTTTTAAGAGGCGACAGAGGGAAACAAAAAAAGCAACGTCTTCCTAATAACGACTGAAAATGAAACTAAACTGCGGTTACCAACCCTATAATATATCCACCTTCGAGGCACTCTATGGGGGAGGCCTATGTTCAGCAGTGGACTTTAATAGACTGTAACGGTAACGGTAGAGCTTAGTGGTCAAGCCACGCTGCAGCGATATTATAGAAGCAAGAATAGGTCAGCACACACAGAACACTAGCATAGAATAGCCGACACAAGAAACAAGGAAACTTTTTACCGGTAACCGGCTTACGAAGTATTTATCATAGTCCTCAGGGGTGACAAGTAACTGCACATCTACATTTTAATTCTGAATCACTGACAGAAGAAAGTGTCTATAGGTGACCTTAGTTACCAATGGTGAACAAAGAGGAACCCATACGTCTGGCCCAAGGTGAAAGGCCAGCGCGAGGTGGCCACGCCAAGTGGGCTCGTCAAGCCCACTCGGAGTGGCCGCGTATATTGGTACACGAATGTATATTGGTAGGCTGCGGCAAGAGGGATGTCTTCTCCCCCTACCGCCGCAGCCGAAGTAGCGTCGCGGAGGAAGAGGAGTACTGGTGTGGTGATGCGCCCACTCATCCCATCCAACGGTACTCTGACGGGGCCGCACAATAGATGCGATGGTGGTGGGGCTACGGGGGAAAAGGTTGAGTCGTGTGCTCATTCGGGTAATGTACTAGCAGTTCCATTGCCATCTGAAAAGTTTGGGTTCAGCTCAGTTCAGTTTGGATAGATTTTCTGTTATCAGTCCATCGTATAAGCCTTTTTTATAGAATAAGAATTTTGCGAACCAGTGGTAAAGCTTAAATTACTTTCAATAAGTATTTTTGTAATCTATCTATCTATATATATATATATATATATATATATATATATATATATATATATATATCATCCGGTAGGTGGCACTGATGTTGAGATTCAGAAATCACCTGTGCAAAGCCCCGTGCGGGGATAGCTGGTATTGAATAAAAATTATTCTATTCTATTCCCAGTAGGATTTTCTCCTGTTAACGGAAAAGAAACATGGACACTTACAAAGAGCTAAAATTTTTTTAAGAATAAGGGTGACAAACGTGCACACAGTCCACCTGATGGTAAGTGGGTGCTGTGACCCATAGACATCTTACATTTATCTTCAAATAAGAATCAAAATGTAGATGCGTTGTAACCCCTGAGGGCTGAGATAGAATGCCTTGTTTCCAGTAAAACTACACTCACCATACGAAATACAGCAGTATTATTCTGCTATTTTATGCTGGTTCGTGCTACAACCACAATATAGGTGCAGCATGGCTCAACCATCTCTTTCGGTTATCAGCACTGCGTGCCGGTAATATGGATATAACGTGAAAATCGGAAAATCCCTACAACCCCAATATACTCAGTCTAAGCGAAACAATTTATTTATACAAAGTATTTAAAAAGGAAATATATTACATTTCAGGGACTCATGAAAAGAATGTATGGTGAAGAACGACATATATCAGTATTAAAAGCTGAACTGGAAAACTTTATAGAAGATGATGATGACAGTGATAGAAAATCAGCAGACTTCGCTGACGATATAATCAAAGCTAAATTAATGTACACGAAGAAAACCCACGGGCGTGCGATGAAGGAAAAGCCCCACTTTAGACCAATACAGACAGCTGACAAACACAAAAAGTTTGAAAACGACACTTTAAAAGTTAAACCATTAGAAAACTACATCAACAATTTCAGAGTTAATAACACAAATAGCAATAAAACCGAAATAACCAACAATGAAACTATGAATGACGATAAAAGCGTATCATATAAAACAAAGCTGGAAAGCATAGCTAATATAGAAATAAATAATTTGGATCCAGACATAATAACTTTAGAAGCTGTTATAAAACAAACTATAGAAACTAACAATATATACCCAACATTTTCTGGAATTTCGAAAAGCGAACCTTTGAGAGATGACAGCGACCTTAAAAACAATACTGATAGAAATGTCACAACAACTACAGAATATTTAATGAATACTACAGAAACTACTGATATGCAGTATGATTACACAACGACAGAACCAAACAAAAATGGATGGAAACCTATGGATACGGACACATCTACTCTACCACCAACATTATTATTCTCGGAACATGACAAGATAAAGAATGATAGAATCGACACCAAAGTAACAGATGAAAAGGAGGAGTTCCATTTAAAACCAACGCAACAAGAATCGATGAGGCCATCAGTCATTAAGCTGCGAGGAGCGTAAGTGTTTTCTTTGAATATATTATTATAAACCAAAGACTTTTGTGTATAATACTAAAAAGACAATTCAAAACCAAAACTGTCTCACAAAAACGCAAACGAATGATACTTAATCAACATCGATTCCTCCTTTCAGGAGCTATGATGCCAAAGACAAACACACAGATACACAAACATATAGCACCCCTCTGTTTTCGTTGGAGGTTAAAAACAAACAATTAGTCTTCTTGTCCGCTCGCAGTCGACTAAAGAAGTTATGAAGGATTGACCGTAACATTATTGCTATCGCGCCCGATTAGTTAGTATATAGTTTTTGTTATAAACTCATGCACACACGTACGTGCGCACTCACACATGGTACACAACACAACACCAAAACTCACCACATCACGCTACGCTACACATCATCACACCATGGTTCTTGACAAGGTCCGCCCTCGAATATATTCAAAACAAGATTTCGGAAACAACCTCATTGTAAAGCACCGAGGTGGCAGCGATGGAGCTTGATTTTAGTAAAAACTAGTTACCTTTAGCAAACAAATGTTTTTACTCCAGCAACGCCTGTGAATCAAAGGAAGAAATGGCGGCGCCTTTCTGGGCCAACAGCACACGAGGGGAAGTGTTGGCGCTGCTCAACATGTACCCTTTTGAACAATACATACACCTAGAGACCTGCGTCCATGAACGAAAGCAAATGTATTGCAGGGAAGGCTGCAGGTACGTATATAGTGTTTTAGTGGCAAATGTAAATATTACATAAGACTCTGTGTTTTCTGTTTGATCTGCTCTAATGAACAAGTTATTTTTTTAAATTCACTCAAGTAAACGTTGACACACGTACAAAAATGTACCTAATGTTAGGTACCTAAAGTGATGGAGTGGCCAATGGACACACACATCTATCTTCGATTAAGTATCAAAAATCAGATAAGCTGAAGCCTGACTAGAAGATGGAACACCTCGTAACCAGTAAAAATAATCTACCGGTTATTCACTTCTCGTCAGTCACCTTACAATAAGGTATTAGGCTGTTTAGTTTAGCCTGCTATTTTACGTTGGTATTCATTAGTAGTATTATTTATTTAAGGTAGAGTAGAGTTCTTCCCCGGATTAGCTGATTCATGTTAAAGGCATAATATATCTGCAGCATGGTACTAACCTAAAACACCCAATTAAATTTAATAAGAAACGTATAAAATATTAAATGCGAAAATACAGAATAGCTTAAAATAGACTAATAGCCACCTTAAATTTAGCAAGGTTCATCTATTATATTGAATAGAACAACACGGGACACTGTCGGACCGGAAATGAGTACCCATAGCGTTTTTCCCCCGATACAGAACAGTCATTTATTGCAGGGGGAAATCTGCGCACAAAACACAATCGTCTGTCACTACCAATCTCACAGATAACAATTAAAACAATAAACTAACAATTTCACTCACACGTAGATACAATATTATAACGTAACCCTCGGTGACAGCGACTACTCGGATACAGACTCGGTCAGTCGCTCAACCGATCTGCATATTGTATGAGACCGAGTGGACTATATTGTTAAACAAATCCCAAATAACATGACCCTTATAATTGCAATTTTGAATAATGATTTCTTATATTTACTCAAACATTACACATTAGTTCCCGACGTTTCGAGTGCTTTACAGCACCTAAGGTCACTGGCGGGACTGAGGTGTTTGACCTCCCGATGTCATTGTTAGCCCGGCTAACTTAAGTTTTCAGTATTATTGATTAAAACTACTTTTACGGATTTTATCGCGTTTTATTTATATTAATTTTAATACCCGACGTTTCGGGTGCTTTCCAGCACCCATGGTCACGGGGGACTGAGGTGACCATGGGTGCTGGAAAGCACCCGAAACGTCGGGTATTAAAATTAATATAAATAAAACGCGATAAAATCCGTAAAAGTAGTTTAATCAATGTATAGTGTTCGCGTAAATATAAGAAATCATTTTCAGTAATAATTTTTATGTTACCAAGATTATCAAGATCCATAAAAGCCCTCGTAAAAGAACATATAGCTGGCGTAAACTCACATTCCGGGAGGTCTGCAGTCTGTGAACATGTTCAAGATCGATCCCACCGTTACATTGGATTTGATAGACCACAAATCCTTGAAAAAGAACACAGATTCGTTCCTGAGATAATTCGCGAGGCTATTGAAATTAAAAAAACATCCTTATTACAATAGAGAAGATGAATGGGTACTAGCATCTGTTTGGAATCCTATAATTAATAGGTAGCGGGGCTTCGATCAACAATACCAACTAGATAACGGGTCACGTACAAAATCATAGCTAAATACTGTCCGCATGAATATAAACTATGAAAAAGACGTAAATTAAATAACATTTAGTGTGAAATCAACCTTAAGATATAACAAATAAAGTTCTTTTTCCCGTTATTGCCTTGCGAGCTACACTCTCACGTGCAAGAGCTCACGTCTCATGTGCGCTCTTATTTACTGAGATGGATTTCTTGCGCCGACCCGACATCTAGTTGGTATTGTTGATCGAAGTAGCGGGGCTAACTATGACATCGGAACGTCAAACACCTCAGTCCCCCTCGTGATCATGGTTGCTGTAAAGCACTCGAAACGTCGGGAATTCAAAAGTTAAATAAAACGCGATAAAATCTGTAAAAACTGGTTTCATTTAATGTTATTTTGAAGTTTAAAAAGAAGTAAATAGCAATGTATGAAAGGTAATCCAGTCATTTTTTGTAAATTTGACTTAGCAGAACTCTTTTTGAGAAACCATTCGGCATTTTTGTAGGACATCGATTCAGCAGGGCAATTAGACTTAGTCTAGTAAGCAGTACGGCTGCAACTAGTTTTATTGTACGTACAGGACCGCATGGACTTATACTTTGACGCCTGTGTACGACCACTCCAATTAGACCCGCCGGTGGCCTGTGTTGCTCTATGATCTGTATCTAGTTGCTGTGTTTCGTGTGGTAAGTGTAGAGAACCGGAGACCCTTTTTACTGGAAACGAGGCATTCAATCTTAGTCCTCACGTGTGACAACGCATCTGCACTTTGATTCGTAATCGAGGATAGATGTAGACGTCTATATCCTTTTTTATACATATATGATGTAGCACGAATGGGTCGGCTCGACCGGGGAAGGACCACGCTCTCACAGAATACCAGCGTAAAATAGTAGCTTAATGCTGCTGTATTTCGTATTGTGATTGTAGAGAACCGGAGACCCTTTTTACTGGAAACGAGGCATTCCATCTTAGCCCTCACGGGTGACAACGCATCTGCACTTTGATTCGTAATCGAAGATAGATGTAGATGCCTATGGGCCACAGCAACCACATACCATCAGCTGGACTGTGTGCTCGTTTGTCACCTTATCCTATAAAAAATGGTTTATTGAGTTTAAAACGATTTTCTTTTTGAAATTACATTATCTTACAAAGCGTTGACATTTTCTCTCTCACTCACTTTTTTAAATACATAATTAAAGTTTATGGACATGCATCCTATAGCACCATACAGCAAGCAGAGTAAAACAAACCTCCATTTAATGAAACGATGACCTGAAAAGGCACGACACGGAGTCGATAGATGCAGGTTACCCAGTACTATTTACTTGACTTGTTTTGTTGTGGGTTTGAAATAATTAAAGTACCCGCTTTCATCTCCAGATGTGAACAACAATACCGGCTTCATCGCCTCCTGGCATACGACCCTCGTAACGAGTGCCGGGGCATATTCGCCGACTGGTTCAAGTTTCCCGCTTGTTGCGTGTGCAAGTGCTACGACGTGCCGCTCGAATTTCGTGCCAGATCGCCCAGGATCCTACATCCTCAGTACGACGAGGAGGTCAAAAGGGTGATATATGAAGACGTGGCGAGGGACTGGTACTCGATGTCCGTTTACGATGAAGATGACGATTTGTACTGAAGTGAGTAACGCAATATTTAAAATAATAACTGACTGTTTTTTGAAACAGGAACAGTCTTTTGAAACAGCCAGTTATTATTTCAGTTAGAACTAAAACACGTTTACAGTTCTATTATCAGTATATCTTTTTTATAAAACAAATGACAAATGAACTTACAATTCGCCTGATAGCATGATGCTGGCAACTTCAAACAAAGAATGAATGAACCTTCAATACTTTTAAGTGTACTAGCTTAAACGAGCGAATCATTCATGATTGACATATGTCTAACCGGAACACAGCAGTGCAAACACTGCTGTTTGGTGGCAGGAATAAGTGAGGAGGTAGTTGTTCATCATGACTTTGCTCAATATTAAACGACAAATGACTGATGAAAATAAACATAAAAAATGATCAGTAAAAGATCCACATTGTTTTATTTTTTTTCCAATGTGATCTTATGGCGTTCCATTGGAATTGACAAAGAGTCTTTATTATTTAAAGTCGAATTCAAAAAAGGAACGGCTTGTTGATATGGCTGTACGGTTGTTTGTTTTTTTGGATGTATGTTACGCGTTAAGTATACGTCAATTATGTAACGAGTGTAATGATTCTTTATGTAAATATGATACCCATATAAATGTGAAGAAAAAATTCTACCTCTAAAGGAGGAAAAGTAATTAATGTTATCTACTTAAACGATGAATTAGTTGTTACTGAGTTTGTAATATTCCTTAGTCCCCTCAAAAGGCTCCAAAATAAGACTGGTAAGAAAAATAAAAACCAATTTCAAAATCTTAAAAAATAAAAAATTAAATCAAAGTTAAAAAAATAATCCAGTTGTTAAAAAGTCGTTGCTAAGTAGTAAAGGCCCGGCTTCAGAAGCTACTATGTTTAAGTAGACTTTTACTTTTTTATTAAGTCTAACTTTTATACTATGTATTGTACTTAAATTGTGTTAACATATTTTCAGGTCTGCAACACGTCGCCTATCCTATAACTACTTGTCATCAAACCCACATTTAATCTTCACATTGGAAAGTTTATTACAACAACTTTCATGAAGATATCTTGATAAGGTGAAAAGAATACATATTACTGTCACAATAGTATAGTATCTAACATTAAAAAAATCAAATGAAACTGCCATATCACAAAAATTGTTCGTTAGTCCTTAGCCAAATTATTTTTTATATTATATGCTTTTTAATAATGTGTGTATAACAGGACGTAGTTACGCGAAAAGGATCCGATTCACAAATTTGTATTGTATTGCCCGCTGTACTTGTACCCGCTCTACAGTCCGCGAATCACGCGCAACAACGTCGTAGCGATAAACACCGCGAAATAAGCAATGGCCACACTCGCATGGTTTCGCCAAAAATACTCACGTTTGAAGGAGATAGGCGTCGAACCAGCTATCGCTACATCTTCTGTTACGCGAATTAGCGCAATATATTAAAATATTATGAAAATATAATAAATGTAAATAAATAATCAGGTCTGGTAAAAACTGAAATAGTGAAAAGCAATATAATATCTATCTTAATAGGTTAAATAATCTTCTGTTTCCAACAGATTTGTTTAAAAAACTATCTATAGGTACCTACCTATAGATAGCCCAATACCAAAGGTATTTATTGCAGGTTATTTAATAGCAATAAATACCTAGTTAAGTAAAGAGTATCTAAATTAATAATTGTAATTAATATTGTGATTTTTTTTCTTCACAATATTAATTACACTTACCGGGCCACTCGTTATACAAATCTCCTGGCCTATAGTTTTTAAGTTATTGCATGGTGCGGGTGACATCTTATAGTTTATCGTGTCTAGAGATGGAACAATGTTAAATCGATTTAAAAAAGGCGATTAACGATACACAAAGTCAAGTTTCACCAAAAACATTTCTTCATAATTTTTTTTTTTATAGAAGAGGGGGCAAACGAGCATGTGGCTCACCTGATGTTAAGTGACTACCGCCGCCCATGATCAACCGCAACACCAGGGGAATTGCAGGTGCGTTGCCGGCCCTTTAGAAAGGAGTAAGCTCTTTTCTTGAAGGTCCCCAGGTCGTATCGGTCCGGAAAAATCGCCGGTGGTAAATTATTCCACAGAGAGGTCGTACGCGGAAGAAAACTCCTTTTGAAACGTACAGTGGTGGACCGCCAAGCATCCAGATGGTGTGGATGGTATCGGGACTTTTGCCGTGTAGTGCGTTCACGAAATTTGGCGGCTGGGATTAATCCGAACAATTCCTCAGAGCACTCCCCGTGATAGATGCGATAAAATACGCAAAGAGATGCAACATCTCTTCGTAGCGCCAGTGAATCGAGCCGATCGGAAAGCACTCGGTCGTCGACGATTCAAGCCGCTCTGCGCTGGATGCGGTCAAGTGGAAGGTGCTGGTACTGGGGAGCCCCAGCCCAGAGATGGGGAAGAGAACAGTATTCCATGTACGGCCGAACCTGCGCCTTGTAAAGTTGCAGGCGGTGTGCCGGCATGAAATACTGTCCCGCTCTGCTGAGCACGCCAAGCTTTTTAGAGGCCAATAAATTGCAATGCATGTAAAATTTAGTTACAGTTTATTTAAATTATGACATTACAGTTACTTAATTATACTATGTTTTCATTTTAAAATAAAAATCACCTCTATTTTATGTTAATTGCAACATTTATCTTAACGTAAAAACAAATAAAATTACTGCTAGCACTTTTGAAGTACGGCGCGGCATTGACTACACCTGCAGCTTTCCAGTGCCTTTCGCTACATATGTATTACACACCTGATTACAGACCTGATTACAGACCTGATTTTTTTTTGGAGTTTATGGCCTGGTATCTAGATCTTTAGGCCAAAATAGACCTGATTATATGTATTAGTGTTACCAGATCTAGAGAGAGAGGTTCAAATATCGGGACGGGAATTTGGTTTACATATCTAATGAAATAAAAAATAAAAAACAGGTTTTATATATCCTTTTATAGAAGCCTTTTGGCCGCCAGAATTTGTACTAAAATATTTTTCACACAATGTGCAATATGCTTTATAATTATTTTTTGGAACTGAGCTAATAAACGAATAATTTATCGTCCAAACATCATAAAAACTCCATATTCATCTATGTACGTTTTTCTTTTTCGCAAAATCATTACTTGTTGAACGATTAGTTATCGTTTCAGACTTTTTTTTTTCAAAATCAAATTTCAAATTTTATGAACTCAAAAGGCCAGCATTTCAAAAAGCCTCAAAAACTGCATCATACACTAAAAGGCACACATTCATACATTTCATAATCAAATAATAATCTCAAATACCCAGATAAAATTGTTGTATCGCACGCGTAATGTCACTTTATTTAATGAGAACAACAGTACCTATATCCGCTTAAAGAAATTGACTAGTGGAAGAACTAACTCACAAGACTTTCGCATTTTACTAAATATACTTATCTAAACCGCAGCGTGTAAGTTAGGTACTGTTCTATAATTACTAGTGAAAGAATTAAATAATAAAAAATGGTCTAATAGATAAAAATGAAGTACGTAATAAATAGTAGCGGGGCGGGTAGCATCACTCGGCGAAAGAAAAAAACAAAACAGCATGAATGAAATCTGTATCTCGCTAATACAATATGAGTAAAGTTTAAAACTTTGATGTGGACTATTTAGTCCGAGTTTGGTGAGAAAATACGAAATGTCAGAGCTAAAATAATATTTTAATGTTGTAACAGCCACAGTAACAGCTTACAGATGTATTCATGTTTGCTGTCATAATTATCAATCGAAGTACAGGAGGAGTACTAAGGAGATTAGTAAAAAATCGAGACATTACGCGTCCCGACTAAGGGTGGATCGGGACGTGTCACTAGATCCTTGAAAATCGGGACATCTGGCAACACTAATGTATATGTTTAATCTGTGGTAGTGCCTGTGACTTTGTATGAAGTACCTATCGGTCGTTTTGTAATTTCCAGTTGAGTTTATATTGCTTTTACTTTCGATTATTGTGTTTATTGTTGTGTTTTGTTTAGTAAAATTTTGCTATTAGATGAGTTTGTTTAACATAAACAAAAACAATGTTAAGTTGAGTTAAGCGTTAATCATTCACCTTCGAGATTACTTTAAGCAAGAACAACAAAATAGCGGAATAAATATAAAATTATTTAGTTTATTTTTCTTAATTTTACCACTTTCTCTACTTATTTATTTGTTTATTATAGCACATTAATGATAAACTACTTAAATTTAGTACAAGAATAGGACACTATTGATTACACATACTAAAAAAGAATTATCTTTTCTTATTTTTTTGCCTATTTTGGCTTTAGTTTTTACGTCCGATTATGAGGCACAACTCTAGTAATTAAAAAAATTACAGCTAGTAAACATAGCACGTGCACAATGTGGACGCAAGTGAAATAAATTAAACTTTTTCTTTTTTATTAGCAACAAAAAACTATATTCGGTGAAATTTTTTAAATTAATGTTAATGTAACAGTCATAACAGGATAGAAAAGAAAATAATAAATACAAATTCAGTGTTATCTCGCAAACGTACGCAAGTTACCTTCTAGTGACCTCTCAACCTGTCATCCGCACCAATCACCATGCTACTACGCAAAAACCATAGGTTATTTTTGATTTTTTAGCCACTGTGACTATTGCCTATTCGTGGCTACTAGTTTGAAAGTGATCCTTTTGAGTAACTATTTCCAAGCTACAATTATGATCGTGATAGAATAAATTATTATTTATTGCTGTAATTTATTGTTCTATTAATTTAATAACTGTATATAAATTATATAAAGGAAAATGTTATTTTAATATTGTTTGTAAATGAAATTTATTTTTAAGGCTAGTGAATTGTAAAATATATTCTATAGACATATAGCGAATGTTATATCGAGTGTTTGAGAGATTTTATTAAAGTTTACTCGTTATCAATTCTTGTTTATATTCATCTTATGTTTTCTTCATATTCTACCTGATCATTATATTCCTGCATTGTTTATCCGAA